TCAGGGAACATCTCATCAATTCACAGTAACATCTGGAGTAAGACAGGGGTGTGTCTTATCACCACTGCTGTTTATCACCTACATTGACAGTATATGCAAGAATGGCAAGCCCACGAATGAAAATGTTAGTAAGATCAACGAATTACTCTTTGCATATGACCAGGCCTTGATAGCAGATACAGCCATGAAATTGCAACTACATCTAACATCCATGAATGAAGAATGTAAAGCAAATAATATGAGAATCAACACTGAAAAGACAGAAGTAACGTCAATAGGAAAAAAGAAGACAGATCTAAACATAGCAATAGAGTGCAAAGGCAATAAACAAGCATCTGATTTTAAATATCTGGGAACTACATTTACCGAAGATGGGAAATTGGATAAAAAAATTAACATTAGATGCAGTAAAGCAAACCAAGTATTGGGACAGCTAGCCCTCCTCTTACAGCATAAGACAATCCCAATCAGCACAAAGAGACATCTTATTCAAAGCATATTTATTCCAACTCTGTGCTACCAGTGCCAGACATGGTCACTCACAACAAACCATAAAAGAAAATTAGTAACCATGGAAATGAGATGTCTGAGAAGGGCTGTGGGAGTGACCATAAGAGATAAGATCAGGAATTAGATCATAAGAGAAAAAGTTGGCACAGAACCAATTCTAAATTACATATGAAGACAGCAAGTGAAATGGTTTGCCTACTTAGAGAGAATGCCTTGTGACACCATACCATACAAAGCATACATGGAAAGAGAAGAAGGACGTAGAGCACGAGGTAGACCAAGAACAAGATGGAAGGATAACATTAGAGAAACTCTACAACAGCTTGATGTGCCTATGGTCGAGGTGGCCAGAAGAGCTAGAGACAGAACCTTATATCTCCCTCGACACCCACAGCGGTAAAAGAGGAAGTGAAGAAGAAGAAGACATGAAGATATAAAACTAAAAAATAAAAATAAAATTTTTTTAAAGCAAAGGTCCCTTTACATCAGACTTATAAGGCTAGACTTGTAGTTTATCAATCAGCCCTGTGTGGGTGAGTGGTCAGCATCCCGCCAGCAACCTTTACTTCTCAGGACTTTACCTGGTACCTATTTAAGGCTGGGTCCACCTGCAAAGCAATCTTTGAAAAAAAAAAAATCAAGCACCACATTTTTTTGAACCCATGACCTTCAGATCAGCAGGTGAGCATCTGGCCACTACACCAAGGCAGCTCCAGATATAGATAGCATTAATCTTCCTACCTGTTCACACCAAGCTGTAAAGATTCTCTTCCTATAAGAGAATTAGGCTATCCTCCGAAAAATGGTTCCAAATTATCGAGGCCGTAAATATACCCTAAGAGGGCCTCAGTCACATGTATATTGCGGACTTCCAGCAACTTAAATTGCACATTTCCGGTGACTACCGCCACCGCCGAGAGTATGTTCATGCATTCAACATTTTGCCAATCACGCAATTTAAAAATCAGCTTTTCCTTCCAAGTAACTAACCCCCCCCCCCCCCCCCCCCTTTTTAAAACTTTTTTTTATTTTAAAGTGCCTTTTTAATTCCTTAGAATAACAGTAACATTTCGGCTTTGACAATTATTTTTTTCTGAACATAATTTTAGTTGCAAGAAAATAGTTTACTTTATTTTATTTTTCTCTTGGCTTAGCCTAACAACTTTTCTGTGGATAAAATTAGTGTATTTAGATTGTTATTGTGTTCAAGATGTGTTTGAAATTGAGCTTTACTTTTAAATGAATAATATTCTTGACTCTGATTTAGATTGTTATTGTGTTCAAGATGTGTTTGAAATTGAGCTTTACTTTTGAATGAATAATATTCTTGACTCTGAAAGTCTTGTCTAACCACAAATTTCTGTCTCTTGTACTTTCAGTAATTTCTGATGCAGATGGTCTTTCATGTCATGATCTCAGACTGTCCAGCATCCTTTATCTCTGTCTCCCTCTGCTTCTTTTCTTCTCGGACTTTCCCACGTCACTCTGTTCCTTCTCGTTGTGACTAAGGAATGTAGACCGTCTCCTTCTGAAATTGTTTAAATCAGTATGTTTTATTAAAGGTGCAGGGATCATGTAATGATAATAACAACAAAACAAATATCCTGTCACTACATTTATTAGGATCTGGTTGTAGTAGATCAGTTTGTGACTGAAAAGCTGCTGAAAAATATTCAGAACCTGTCTTTTGTATAAAAAATAAATCCTTTCCCTTCTGTTTTATTTTGATTGCTTTTCCACAGATATTTTTTTGTTTCAAAACACAATAGAAAACACATATCCTACCACTGAATTCATTTTACTCTACTCACAGAAGATCAGTTTTTGACTGAAAAGCTACTGGAATATATTCAAAACATAACCTGTTTTTATTGTTCAGTTTTTTTAATGGACACTCCTTTCCCTTCTGTTTTATTTTGACTGGTTTTTCTTAGATTTTTGTTATATGTAAATACAGTATAAAACAAACTGCTGTAGTTACAGTAGATCAGTTTGTGACTGAGAAGCTACTCAAAAATATTCAGAACATAAACTCTTTTTAATTTTCTTCTTTTCTTACCCCTTTCCCTTTTATTTTGATTGGTTCCCCAAGATATTTTTACTTATATAATGAAAATAATGTTTGTGTTTGCATATGTCAGTGAGGGGGGAAGAGAGATTGAGAGAGAGAGAGAGAGAGAGAGAGAGAGAGAGAGAGAGTGGTTGTCTTAATTATTTCTACCGTTAAATTAGGTCACAAAAATGAAGAATCAGTTGAAAAATAGCAAAGTCTAATGCTATCTATAAGCAATGTAGAATGTGTAGCATCAGCTCAGATGTTTCAGACTAACTGGCCCAAGATGGGTTATGTGGTCTGTATCATGATGGGCACCGTGACTACCTAGAAAATTTCCTGGTACCCATTTTAAACTCAGCATTTTAGGCTGAGTTGACCTGGAGACAATCCTGAGTGGGAAACAATTGTGTCTATCTACACAACACGACATAACCTTTGACCCGTCAGGGTCAGAAATGTGTACCTAGCACACATAAACCACCACCTTTCTTTGTCTTTCACTTTATGAACAAGTGTATAATGATTTATTCCTGTCCATTTCTCAATGTTGTCATTCAAGGTTTCCCTCCCCCCCCCCCCCCCAACTTTTCCCCTCCTCTTTGACTGCACCCCCCCCCCCCCCCCCTTTCCATGTTCCTTGTAGTATAGTCTTTGCAATCGAATCCTGTCTCACCAGACTAGCTTGTGACTTTCACCTCTGCCATAAAAGCTCCTGGCGGCATCCGTGGCTTAGGCATTGCGAGTCCGACTCGTAATTCCAACCTACTGCGATCGAAACCCACTGCCGGCTGCGTGGATTATCATCATGGAATGGGGGCATCGCAGGTCGACCCAACCTAAAATGGGTACAAAGATGGCGGTCCTAGGGGAAGTAAAGATGGCCGGCGTAATGCTGACCACATTAACCCCCCCGATGCGCCTTAATGCGTGAAAAGGGATCTCTCCTTTTTTTTTTAAAACTATTGAAAACTCCTAATGTTCTGTAGATGTGTTTAATATGACCATCTGATTAGTTGGCAAGCAAATTGGTCTCTGCTTTTTTGAGATTCTCTTAGTATATTCTCTGGTACTATGAGATTAACTCAAGTACTTATGTAAGAGTATGTGAGTACTGGCAACAGCCATGTGCATACAAAAACAAAATCATTTTATAATGTGTCGTAAATTCTTATCATCTCATATCTCTAAACATTTATTCTTGGATATATTTATATACAAGTAAACGTACATTAACATTAATTCACTTAAGAAGAACATTTGATAAGCATGAATACAAGTTTGTCCCAGTATATGTATTTTAATTTGAGTCTCTGGTTAGTGGAAAAGTTTTGTTTTTTTAAATGACCGAGTCACATTTCTCTGCAAAGAGATTTTGAAGGATCTAAATGTATATTTTTGTGTTGCTGTGCTTGTTTTCTGTTGTAGTAGCTAGTTATTTGCATTATGAAGTCCATGGCCATAATGAAAAATACTAAACAGAGTTTGTGTGTATCTTGGTGTATATTAAAACATTTGAACATATTGTGTTGTTGTAGTCTTTGCCTTTTTTAGACAGGGGTGAGGAACTTTTTTTTTTTTCAACGGTCGTTATGGATAATTATAACATCATACAAAATTCTAAAATGAAAAATCAGCTTGCTTTATTTGGTATGGGGAGAAAATCAAGAAGGGAATATTGAAAATCAAGAAGGGAATAGGAGAAAATGATTGCAGATAGGTTTAGAGCTGAGCGTAGATAAGTTTAGAGCTAAGCATCTTAGAAGACAGATGTTAAATACATGTGATGGCAACAGTGGTCCTGAAATCACATACTGTAACTGTGGAAGACTTTCTTAAGGCAAGCACGTTCTGCAACTCACATTCGCCATCACCCCCTGCTGAGATTCTGATACCTCCCTACAGTACAATAGAACACTGTCATCTGGAAAGACAAAAAGGTGCTAACAGTAATATTTGGTCAAACATTTCTTTTTCTGTGCTCACCCTCAAAATGATATTGACACCTTGTGTTATGGTTTACAGCTAGGCTGAAATATCCAAGCCTTTTTGTCCCGTCATCAGATTTCAGCAAACTCAGACTAAAAATTAGTTGCCTTTTATGACGTGCTTGTTGGGGTGTGGGGCCAGGGGGTGGGCCAATCTTTTTTTGTTTTTCTCTCTCTCCAAAATGGGTCCTGGCACCCATAGGTGAAGATAAAACATTTCATTGCAGTTGCCTTGGCAGAACCAGTCCAAATAACTTTGTAAACTATTATATGGCTTATAGGCCAGAGGTCCCTCACCCCTGGTTTAATATAAACATTTGTTTTTACTAATTTATTCATTCATTGTGTAAATGCATGTATATATTGATTGTGCTGTATGTTAGCCGTGTAGCTTCTGTGTGATCAGTGTTGCTTATGAGTACCTGTGTGGTTTCTTGCACCGTCCTCAGTTCCAATGGATATGCAGCACCAAAGCTATGACAGCAAGACCATGCTCTTCCTAGGTATGAAGTAGTTGTAGCTGTTGCTTCTCTTCTTATTTACCCAGTGAATGGGAGAATCTTTAACCCGCTTTTATTCAGCTTTAGCTTGTTTCCCCCCCCCAAGCAGACAGTCATAGCATCTGCATCGTGGTGCACTGTCAAATATTCCACATCCTTTGGCTCTTAGAAATTATATTCTAGAAAAATGTATATAAATAAATGCCAGTTAATATTCACATAAATTATCATACATGTCAAGCATTAGAGGAAGAGGTTAATTTTATTTAGTATCATCTGCTTATGTTTTCTTTTTTTTTTTTCTTTTTTTAAATCTTTACATTATTTTGTTTAACTATCATCATTGATTGTGGGCACAGCTTCTAGTACTTACTGAGTGATACCGGTTATAGCCATCACTGACTTGACTAATTGGCACAGGTTTTAGCCATCACTGACTAACTTATTGGCACCGGTTTTAGTCATCACTGACTGACTGATTGGCACAGGTTTTGGTCATCACTGACTGATTGGCATAGGTTTTGGTCATCACTGACTAATTGGCATAGGTTTTAGTCATCACTGACTGATTGGCATAGGTTTTGGTCATCACTGACTGATTGGCATAGGTTTTAGTCATCACTGACTGACTGATTGGCATAGGTTTTAGTCATCACTGACTGATTGGCATAGGTTTTAGTCATCACTGACTGACTCATTGGCACAGGTTTTAGTCATCACTGACTGACTCATTGGCACAGGTTTTAGTCATCACTGACTGACTGATTGGCATAGGTTTTGGTCATCACTGACTAATTGGCACAGGTTTTAGTCATCACTGACTGACTAATTGGCACATGTTTTAGTCATCACTGACTGACTAATTGGCACAGGTTTTTTTCATCACTGACTGACTAATTGGAACTTTATATAATTATCACTGGCCAACTAATTGGTAGCGGTTATAATCAGTCACCACTCACTGACTGCTAGGCACAGGTTACAGTCATCACTGACTAACTGACTAATTTAACCTTGACATTATTATCACTGACTGTCTAATTGGCAGAAGTTATATAAGTATCACTGACTAACTAATTGGCACAGGTGTTAGTCATCACTGAGTGACTGATTGGTACAGGTTTTAGTCACTACTGACTAGCTGGCTAAATGACACTGGTTCTAATCAGTCACAACTCACTGACCGAGGCACAGGTTACAGTTTTTTTTTAACAGGTTTAAGCCATCACTGACTAACTAATTGGCACAGGTTTAAACCATCACTGACTAACTAATTGGCACAGGTTTAAGCCATCACTAACTAATTGGCACAGGTTTTAGTCATCACTGACAATTGGCACAGGTTACAGTCATTATTGACTGAGTAAGACATTTTAATATCAATCTTTAACTAATTGGCACAGATTATAGTCATCATAGCTAAATGGCATCAGGTATAGTCATCACTGACCGATTGGCACGGGTTATAATCATCACTCTTGTAAAATCTCAGTCGTTTTGATCGTTTTGATAAATGAAACTTTTGCTTCAAAGTTCCTGATTTTCTTCTTGCCCATGGAGCCTTTATTTTAGCTCTTTAGATCTTTCTCAAGGTTGTGTTTTTATTTATCTGACCAGCTAATTCAGTAAATTTGATGGATGTCAATGCTGGAAAATATTTTTTTGGGCTTTCATTTTGTAAACATAATTTTACCTGGCAGTAAAACATTTTCATTTTGATTTAAAGTTGTTGAAAGAAATCTAAACCTATTTGTGAAAAGCTATTATCGTGGTCTTTTATTTTTTAATCACTCTTGTTTGTGAATAAGTAAAATAATTCTCCTGGTCATCTGAATCATTTAGCTATTGTTCCTTATTGCATCTCTCATCCAGTTATTTAAACTATTTTTATGCTATTTTATCTTCATTTTGATTTCTTCTGTGAATTTTTCTTTTAATACCATGTCTCTGGTTTTTTTAAATTTTTTTTAAATGTTATTGTTTGCTGAGCTTTCATAAACAATTTTGACCTCTAGAATGTACATACAGTTAATTATAATTGCTTGCTTTATCCTCTCCTAGCAATAGCAATTATCTTTTATCATTTCCAAAATATACACATAAAGAGTAGAATGGAAGCTAGCCAATGTTTGCATGTTTACTCTTAGCCTGCAGTAAAAGCTATATATACTTAAGTAAAGGACCCTTTTCATGCATTGGACACTCAATGCCAGATCTATATTTGTATAGACCGATGGCACTTGATTGACAATGTGGTCAACATCATGTCGGCCACCTTTACTTTCCCGCGCATTATCTGGAACCCATTTTAGGTCGGGCTGACCTGGGAGACAAGATCAAGGATAACTCCTCTCTGTGATGCTTAACAGCGTAAGCAGTAGGACAAAAGAAGATTATATATATAATATATATAATATAATACATAGGCCAGGCGTATGGACCGTATAAGGACATCCATTGCCTCTTCCCTAGCAGGCAGGCTCTACCAGGGTGACCGGTTACTTCCTGCTCCATACACACACACCCACCCACATCCACACCCACCCACCCAATCACCCACATCCACACCCACCCAATCACCCACATCCACACCCACCCACCCAATCACCCACATCCACACCACCCACACCACACACACACATGTTTATATATATATGTATGTATGTATGTAGTATATATATATATATATATATATATATATATATATATATATATATATATATATATATATATATATATGTATGTATGTATGTAGTATATATACATGAATAATAGTAAGTGATAAAGAAATTTAATATATTACAAACTTAGAATATCTAGGTTCCATAATAAACAGCAATGGAGACTCTTAAATAGAATCAAAAATTGGATGGTCATAGCAATGCAAAGATTAAACCGCATCTAAAGCAACATACACTTGTGAGTTGTTTACTGTCTTGCAGTAATTAGGGATGAAAATAGAGGCTTTTGAGCTGAAATGCTAGAGAAATATTCTCAGTATACCATAGACAAAGAAGAAAAGAATGCTGACATCCTAAAAGATCTGAACATCAAGGAAGATTGCCTAGTAAACAGCATCTTGTCTTGGAAGCTGAAATATGTTGGTAATACCAAGCGGCATGACAGATTGGGGGGAAACAAAATTAGCAGAAGGCATGGTACCGGGAATGAGGGGCAAGGACTGACCAGCATGAAGGTTGTAACAGGATATAAGTGACACCTTGGTAGGAAAGTACACCACACACCGGGAGAGCTGTGATTCAGGCAGACCGTGATGAGAGTGACACCTTGAAAGGAAAGTACACAACACACTGGGAGAGCTGTGTTTCAGGCAGACTGTGATGAGAGAGACACATTGGTAGGAAAGTACACCACACACCGGGAGAGCTGTGTTTCTTTCAGGCAGACCCTGATGAGAGTGACACCTTGGTAGGAAAGTACACCACACACTGGGAGAACTGTTTCAGGCAGACCGTGATGAGAGTGACACCTTGGTAGGAAAGTACACTACACACTGGGAGAACTGTGTTTCAGGCAGACCGTGATGAGAGTGACACCTTGGTAGGAAAGTACACAACACACCGGGAGAGCTGTGTTTCTTTCAGGCAGACCGTGATGAGAGTGACACCTTGGTAGGAAAGTACACCACACACTGGGAGAACTGTGTTTCAGGCAGACCGTGATGGGAGTGACACCTTGGTAGGAAAGTACACCACACACTGGGAGAGCTGTGTTTCAGGCAGACCGTGATGAGAGTGACACCTTGGTAGGAAAGTACACCACACACTGGGAGAACTGTGTTTCAGGCAGACCGTGATGGGAGTGACACCTTGGTAGGAAAGTACACCACACACTGGGAGAGCTGTGTTTCAGGCAGACCGTGATGAGAGTGACACCTTGGTAGGAAAGTACACCACACACCGGGAGAGCTGTGTTTCTTTCAGGCAGACCCTAATGAGAGTGACACCTTGGTAGGAAAGTACACCACACACTGGGAGAGCTGTGTTTCAGGCAGACTGTGATGAGAGTGACACCTTGGTAGGAAAGTACACCACTCACCGGGAGAGCTGTGTTTCTTTCAGGCAGACCCTGATGAGAGTGACACCTTGGTAGGAAAGTACACCACACACTGGGAGAGCTGTGTTTCAGGCAGACTGTGATAAGAGTGACACCTTGGTAGGCAAGTACACCACACACCGAGAGAGCTGTGTTTCTTTCAGGCAGACCCTGATGAGAGTGACACCTTGGTAGGAAAGTACACAACACACCGGGAGAGCTGTGTTTCTTTCAGGCTGACCCTGATGAGAGTGACATTCTGCAAAGGACCTGCTTCATATTGATGATGATATACATAGTGGGTGTATGATTCTAGTGCCCTATTTTGCTGGATCAGTCAGCTCTGAGTCAGGGGTATATGCCTGGGAAGAGAGGAAGAGGAAGGCCAAGGAGAAGATGGGTGCAGGATGTGGCAGATGATCTCCAGATGGGTGTATCAGACGCAGGACATCTTGCTCAGGAACGAATTCTGCAAGAGCGTTTGCTCCGAGGGATCTCTTGTGACATTCTGGCGCCTTCAACGGAGCATGCACGGCGCCGCACGACCAAGGGGTATCCCTGATTTTCAGGGTACAGACCTGATATGGCAGAGAACTGATGCTGATAAAGGAAAAACCCTCCTTGCGCGCTACTTGGAGCAAACTGACCAAAAAGACGAAGCTGCAAGAATAGGGGTTAAGATGAAACTGTCGATGCTGTGCGAGAACACTGAGCTAGGCACTGATTTCACAATCACTGCAGACACCTTAAGAACTTGCCTCAAGAAATCGCGCAGCACTGCTCCAGGTCCTGACGGCATCCGATACAATGACATGCTGATGATGTCGAATGCTGATTTGAAAAGCGTGGCAAAGGAATTCAATATCAGCATCCAGAATGGCCAGATACAAGAGGAATGGCTCCATAGTTATTTGTTTCCACTACCAAAGCCTAATAAAGACCACTCAAAGATCTGCGG